GCTTTTAGTTGCTTCAATACAATATTATAAAAAACATCCCTATTTTTATGTCAGTGGTTCTCAAGTTTTATTATACATAAAATTATACATAAAAATTTCTTGAGGTGCTTGTTAACACCATAATGGACCATACTTAGACAAACTTTGTCCCAGATGTTCATATTATTAACCTATAAACAACGTGTTTAAAATCATGTTCTTGACCTACTAGCATTGCTTGAGATAAGTAATACAAGCAAGGAATTTGAATATGATGCAATCCTCAACCTTTGCTCAGATCACTCATTCATTTAACAAACATTTACAGAGAGAATACAGCACCAAGAAGCACAACAGGTGTAGTATACATATTTAGGATAAATAAGAAAAATTATACTAAATATTTTTAAAGAACTTACTTGTTTCTTAGCAGCACGTTTAGCTTGTATCTGTTCATATTCTTCTTGTGCTTTTTGATTTGATGTTTTCTTTTTATTTTTCTGTGGAACTGTGAAGGAGCTTTTAATTGGGGGACAAAGAAACAAGACTTTATTAGTAAAATGTTTGAAAAGGTATTAAAAACACACTTGCAGCTTTTAAGAGTACACATTAACTAAAAGGCACAAATGAGGATTCTTACAGAAATATTTCAACTAGGAAAAAATATAGAAAGCTATGAAAGATCCTAAAATGTTTTTTAAAAATTTAAAACAAATGAAACCAGTAAATGAATGACAGAAATGCCAGACTGAAAAAGGAATTAAATTTATGGATGTTAAGAAAATTATGTGTATATATGAACTTTAATCTCAAAGTTTTCTGACCCCCTCCACTCTATTCCATTTCATCTACTTAGTCATGAATCACCATTACCTTGGACCTAGACACCATTTCCAACTGTTCTATCTTTTAAGTACTTCTCACCTCTCTGAAAGTTTCCTTTTTGCCAAGGCTAATTCAACTACTTGGAATTCCATGCATTTCCTCAGTATCTTTGATTCAGTAATAACTTTCCTTTCCTCTGTCACTCAACTTTTCACTATACTCTACAACTACAATGTAGTATTTTAATAGCTATCTTCTTAAACAAATGAATTACCCATCATCAGACTTCATGTCCCCTTTCAACTATCAATTTTGTTTCCTGACCTTTGTAGTCAAGTTTCTAGAAAGATTAGTGAACAGACTATGATTGTCACTTCCCATTTGCTCCTTGATTTTTTGATATCTGATTTCTGCTTCTCACCACTCAAATCAAACTGCCCATGCCAAGACAGTGATGAGCTTCTAGCAGCCAGATATGATGATCAATGGGAACTTTTAGTCTTTTTTAATGGACTACACACATTACTCCTGAAAATTCCACTCTCTCAGTGTGAGTCACATTCTTTTCTCCTGATCTGTTCTAATTGTTCCTTCTTAGTCTGCCAAGCTAGAGCCTCTTTGTCTTCCTCAATGAAGATTTTTCCCCCAAGTTGTTTCTCTTCTTAGTCTCTATACTCCACTTGTGTTTGAGCTGTCAGATCTATGACCATGACTCCAGATGCCACATGTATGTATGGCTGAAAGCTTAATCAGGGACTATCTATTGAAAATCTCTCCAAAGTCACTAGTGACTGCCTAGTCCACAAATCCAGGGACCTGTTCTCAGTCCTAATCCCCTTAAGCTTTACAGTACAGTAGCACACCCCTTATCCATGGTTTCCCTGCTCCAAAGTTTGTTACTTTCAGTCAACGGAGGTACAAAAATATTAAATGGAAAAATTCCGGGAATAAACAATTCATATGTTTTAAATTGTACACCATTCTGACTGTTTGCTTTAAATGAAAAGGTAAAAGCTCTTGACTTAAGGAAAGAAAAAAGTCATGTGCTGAAGTTGCTAAGATCTATGGTTAAAAAAAAAAATCCTCTATCCATCAAATTGTGAAGGAAAAAGAAATCCATGCTAGTTTTGCTGTCACATTTCAAACTGCAAAAGTTATGGACACAGTACATGATTTAAGATGGAAAAGCCATTAAATTTGCACGTAAAAGACATTAACAGAAACATATTCCGATCGACAGAAATTGGGTTTGGTATCATTTGCAGTTTCAGGCATCCACTAGGGTCATGGAACATCTTCCAAACAGGTAACAGAGGACCACGATATTTAATAGTTGACTAATCCGTACATCTCATAACTTTTCTCTGTGAACTTAGCTGTCACTGTATTTCTAATTCTTCAATTCTGAAAAGCTTACTTAACTTATTCAATGACGGCATTTTCCCTGTTTCCACCCCAAAATAAACAGTAATCTTTAAAAGCATAATTTTTTACCTTCCTTTCTCATGATTTAAACTTCTTCACTTCAGTTATCAGAAAATAACTCAAATCTACATTTCTAGTGCTAATCTTTTCCCTGAGCTTTACACTGATTATTTGACAATATAATAATCAAGTCTACCAAAAGTAAACTTTCTGTGTATCAGCCTTCATCGCCAATTACATTTGTCCTGCCTGTGGTCCCATTTCCTGTTATTTTTAGCAAGAATAGCTCACAACTTTAAAAGACAAGGTTTTAATGAAGTAAAAAGTTATGCTCCCAAGTTAACACCTAGCTTCTTGCAATTTTAGATTTTAGCATGGCTTAAGTTGAAGTATGTGCAGTAATAGTTTTTTGTAAGTTAACTCTTATAAAACCAAAGTGTCATGGAGCTGTGCATTTGTTTTATAATTGCAACCCATTTCTGGTCCTCTGTAGAAAATTCAGATTAACAGTAGCAGCTAACGCTCAAGAGCACTAACCATGTATTATATATACCATTTTAAGATCCTCACATACATTAACTCACTGAGTCTTCACAACAATGTCATGAAACGCTTTAGGAACACTGGAGTTTATGTGAGTAATCCATTCTGGAGCTGTGCAACATGGCAACTCTGAAGTATGTATTCATTACATTATCTTTTCCAATTTAAAGAGGACATAGTATTATTTTTCCCATTTTAGAGAAGAGGCCACTGGGGCACTAACACGTTAAGTCTGGCTCTAGAACCCATACTGTTAATGACTAAACTTGTAACATCTCTTAGAAGTTATTTTTCAAAAATATATTCATAACATATAGCCCCATCAAGTTATCACCTATACTTGAGAGGAGTTATCACCTATACTTGAGAGGATGAAATCTAAATCCCAGACCTCTTAATTCCCATTCCATTACTTCGTCAATTAAACTAAAAACAGTGTGATAATTTAGTTACTGACGCTAAAAACAAAGCCTCCATGAAAATGTTTACCTTACTAAACTGCGAATTCTAAAATGTGTTAAATAAGAAAAATTCCAATTCCTATATAAATTATCCTATAGTACTTTTAAATAAAACACCACTTGAAGGATTTCATATGAAGAAAATACTTACTTTACTGTTTTACTATATTGTTCTTCTGGCTGAGACTGGTCAAAGCTATGCTGATCTTCAAACAAAGCCTGGTGAATGCTACACTGTTCTTCAAGCAAAGGCTGGTCAACTTGTTCTGACAAAGGATGGTCAACTTTTCTTGGTTGCTTCCTAAGTCTTTCTTCTTCAGCTAAATAGAGATGTTTCAGATTATCTGGGTATCGATCTGTGAATTGAGACTCCGGCGACGTTTGAGCCTTCTTTTCCTTCCGTAGCAATTTCTTGTAACTTTTCTGAATTCTCAGTTTTCTTCGAAAGGCAAAGCCTTGTCCTACGTTGAGGAATATCATCCAAAATTACTTTCAGAGAAAAGAGGTTGAGCAAACAATGAAGCTGTTAATTACAAATGAAAAACATTTTTAAAAATATGTAGTTCCATTTAGATGCTAGGATTGTTTTGCTTTAAAAGATTATTTCAAGCAACAAATTTAAGCAGATGGATTCCATAGCAAGTTGGCCCTTTGCAAAAAGACCAGGCTAACAGTCGTGCATACATTGAAGTAAGAATCTCAAAGAAAAACTGGCCAGCTCAGACTGCTGTACAACTTGAGTTTATAGCTGTATTCACAAATTAAAACAAAATCCTTAGTTCATTTAAAACATTTAATCTGGGCCTTCAATAAATACTTAAAATATATAAAAAAAAAAGCCACCTCTAGTATTTTATCTTGGACAAACTACTACCTATGTTTTCGAAAATATTTCAACGCGAAAGAAAAACACAGTGTATGGTTGTCTGAAAAGCTAGCAATTATCGGAAGACTGAATTTACTTAACATTTATATATTTTGAGTGGGATCTGAGGGACTTTACAGACAGCAAGACAAAAGGACAAACACAAAGTAAAGCAAAGGAGAGGAAGATAGGTAAGAGAAGACTTCAGGGCCACTCGACTATTTGTAATAAGGAAGGATTCGGAGCAATATGTTTCTAGCCCAGTCTTCTCTACCCAAAAGTATATACGTAATACACAGGGAACGCAGAGACGCTCTCTACTCAGTTTCTCAAGAAAAATACAGAAAAAAAGTTCTGATGAAACACAGGGTTAAGTCAGGGAAGGCGTTTAACTAATTAAAGTTACCAACACTGCTCCGTTTTCCTATCTAGAGCTCTACGAAGTTCACAGCTTCAGCGGGCTAAGGAATGGCTTGCCCTGCCCCATGTGGGACCGGATCTTGTTCCCAAATCCCTCAAAGCTTCGGCGGGTCTGGTATCCTAAGACAGAGAAAGCCTGAGGACTTGCAAATAGTTGCCTTCTTACATACCCTCGCGAACACTCCCCACGAAGGTTTGCGGATGGTTAGGCCGCCATGACTTCTGTTTCACATTCTTATTCCTGTACCCGACAGGTGAAAGCCCTTCACCACGCGCCTCAAAACCACCAAGCCGGCACTTCCCTGCCCGCCTCACCGGCGCCATTGCAGCCGACCACCTGCGTCTCCAAAAGACCACAACGGACGCCCACAAAATACGTCACCAAGTCGAAGCAATCAATTGCTCAGCAGAAATCCGGCTCGGAGCTCTACTGAGCCTGCCTGTGCTAATCTGAGCCGAGCTGGCGCCTCACGGCCATGTTTGCGCCACCTACAGCCTGGGAGGGTGAGCGTCATGGCGGCTTCTTGCCCTCTCCCGGTGACCCCGGACCTGCCCACGCTGCGTGCCAAGTTGCAGGGACTGCTGCGGTTCCTGAGGGACACGCTGTCCATTTCCAACGCACATACGGTGGATTTCTACACAGAATCCGTGTGGGAGGAGCTGGTCGACTTGCCCCCGGAGACAGTGCTGGCTGCACTGAGGAAATCAACTTCGGAGGCGGAGGCCCGGCTCTTAGAGGCGCGCCCCCTAATGGAAGCAGAGGAGGAAACAGGTGGGTGGTGGGGTAGGCGGGGCGGGAAGGGAGGCGGAGAAGGTCCCAACCGGCGAAGCGAGCCCCCTAGTGGAAACCTGCAGAACCGGGTGCGCGGCGCGGAGATGGGGCGACCGCGGCCGGGGGCGGGGCGGCCCTCCGGAAACCGAGGAGGGGTCGGATTACTTGAGGGAGAAGCAGGGATGTCGTTTGGAATCAGGATCTGCCTTTCTTTGGGTGCTTCTGTATTTCCACAATTTAAAGAAAGCAGGAAACAGGGCAGGGGAGTTCCTTCGTCTAGTAATTCGATAATAGTTGACGCGAGGGAAACTAGGGTAGCAGTGCCGTCACGGGGTTTATAAATTCTAGGTGGAATCCTCCACCAAGTGGTAGAAGATTACTCAACAGTTAATGAAGTAAAGATAATTTCAGATGGTGGTAATGAAGTAGAAAATAAAAACACTGTAATGTGGTAGGGATTGTATAAGGAGGCTGCCTGAATTTAGGAGGTCAGGAACACGAGAAGGCACCAGCCTGCAGAGCCACAGGAAGGGGTTGGGGGTTGTGGGTTGCGGGTGGCGGGAACCGCAGGCTACACTTGGCTCTAGCCAGGTGAGGGGCTGCAGGTGCAGGCCGGGAAGCAAGCAGAGGCCAGTGGCTGAAGCCTTTCTAGGCCTTGGAAGGATTTTGGATTTGAAGTGTGATGGAAAACCTTTGGGGTTATTTAGACAACATAGTGATCTCATTGACATTTGAAAAGATAACTGAATTATTTGAAGAATAGACTAGTGGGGCAAAAGCTTAAGCTGAGAGGCCAGTTAGGAGACTATTTCAGTAGTTAGGAGACTATTTCAGATGATTGCTATCTTGGATTAGGATGGTATTCGGATATTCACTTTTTCATTTAAAAACTATTTTAAAGTATCTAATATGTGTCATGAATTTATGTAGGCTCTAGGTTTTCCTGCCCTGAGGAAATGTAGATTATTTTAAGGCAAGTATATTTTGGAAGTAGAATGATGGACACCAAGAGGCTCCTGGGATTTTTACTTTCCTTCTAACCAAACTTACCCTTGTTAGTGAACTTTATCCGTTGAGCATTCTCTAAATGCAAAGCATCACTAGAGGGACCTCTTATAATAGCACTTGGTAAATACTGGTTTCTTTAAAGACATTGTTATTGAAAAGTTAGGCTCTTCTTCAGTTTGCTTTCATAATAAATATATGGCACGTATGATAACATGACAATTCTACTTAAACTCCAAAAGAGCAGTCTGTGTCTGACTTGTCAACTGATGTTTCCCCAGCACTTGGTAAAATACTTGGCATACATTCAATACTGGATAAATATTTGTTGAATGAAGGAATTTATGAATTACTCATGTTAGTTTTAAATAAATAAATAAATGAAACTACTCTCAAGGTTAGAGGCTAAGACTTTCATATGTGTTTATAAGTTTGGTCTCCATACAATGGTAGAGTTAGATTGTCTTACATATCATAATAATAATGATTGGATTAATTGATATTTAGTACATACCCTGTAGTGTGCTAAGTGTCTTCATGTATATTTTCTCTTTTAATCTTTACATCAGCCTTGCAAGATAGGTTCTGTTATTTTCTCTTTGTGAAATTTTTTATAACAAGGAGTTAATTTGCAAGGGACACAGCTTTATAAATGGAAGATTCAAACCTCATCATTTGACTTTAATCTGAGCTCATCACCACCATCATAAAAATCTACTCTGAATTATTTAACAATTAATTACCAAGTCCATTTATTATCATAATCAGTATTTAATGACACACATTCCTTGTTTATTTTTTTATTGTCTGTTCCTCCCTTTAAGAATGTAGGAATTGTTTTGTTCATTGCTGTATCCTTAGTGCCTAGAGCAATTAGATCAATGCCTCATTACATTAGGTGGTTAATAAATACTTAGCAACGAGTAATTGAATAATACCACTTATTTGTTCTTTTAAGCTAGGAATAAAGTGCTAACATCTTTTGGGAAAACCTTACAACCAATTTTGTATCTATCCAACAACAATGGAATTTAGGTTAGTTAGTGCGCCTGTGGAATGTCTGTGGTCCTGCAAACATTTTTGTACAAAATATTCCATTGTAAAAATGGTCAGCTGCTTGTAATATTAAAAAGAGTGAGTGTTTATCATTTGTGTGTGTCAGAAATCTTCATTTTTGTGTGAAGATGGACATTTTTCCCCATTACTATATGAGATCGATTGTTCCTATCAGAAGAGATATTAGAATCCTATAAGCAGATTTGTATCCTATTGAATAATTATTAGCTATTATGGACAGTATATTTAGCAGTTAAATATGGTGTCAAATAGGGTTCCAATTCCAGTTCTGCCTCTTCCAGTTCTGTGATCTTGGGGAATTTCAATTATTCATTCAGTCAGCGAACATTTACCAAGTGTCAGCTATGTGCCAGGCACTTTTCAAGGAGTTAGGAAAACAGCAGTGCATAAAACAAAAACCCCTACCTTCGTCTTGCTTTCATTCTAGTGGGAGAAGATAGTCAAAATTATTTTAGTGCTATAGAAAAAAAGAAAGTTTAATAGGTAAGGGTGGAGTAAATAAGGGGAAGAAGAGGAAAATACATTTGCAATTTTAAGTAAGTTGTCCTGGCAAGACCTCATTAAGGTAACTCTAACTCTGAAAAGATAAGAAAAATGAGGTATGAAGATATCTGGAGGGAAAGCATTCCATAGTGTGAGAACAGGGAACAGAAATGCACTGAGGAGGGAGCCTGCATGGTGTGTTTTAGGAGCTGCATGGAGACTGAAACAGATTTCCACTAGGGACTCACAAGGAGCATGGTCTTCTGCTGATATTGTATGAGGAGTTACAAGTAAATGTAATTCCCAGAGCTGCATGCACAGTTTGGAAAAGTACACTAACAGATGTTCAGCACAATCATTTGCTGTTTTATGGAACAAAATTGTTTCTAAAAGTCCTCAGGGTATCCATTTCAGTAGGTTTCTTGTGCCAGGTGATCTTCTTGTCTGGTTAGAGTCCTAAAAGTTTCTTCTTCCTTGTTCATCTAAAAAGAACTGGAAGAATAAAATTTAATTCTCCAAAATTAAAAAGAAATATATTGGAAATTACCTTTGCAGGGCATAAATTATGACTTTCCAGACAGACTGCCTGGGTTCAAATCTTGACTCCAACACTTACTAGTTGTGCTAACTTGAACAGTTTGCTTCAACTCCTTGTGCATTAGCTCCTCATCTGTAAACTGGGGTGACTTTAGTACCTACCTGATGGGATACCGTGAAAGGTAGTTTAGCTAATAGATAGAAAGGGATATCTTTAAGGTGTTATGAACAGCAGATGCCCAAGCTGGAGCATGCTTGGTGCATTGTAAACACAGCAGAGCGGTCCTGGTGAGACTGGAAAGAGTTGGGATTTGGAGGTGGTCTAGGACAACTTCACATGAAGTTTGTAGGCTGTATTCAGTACTTGGCTTTTATTCTGGGTGAAACGCAAAGCTCTCTGAGGATTTTGTGTGGTGATGTGATACACTGTGATTTATGTTTCAAAGTCTGGTTGCTCTGTGTGGAGAAGAGAGGGTAAGAAAGGTGAGGGAAGGTAAGGGAAGAAACAGAATTAGAATATAAGAGGCTATTAAAATAGTCCAGGGACATTTCAAGGAATGGCAGCTTGAAGAGGTCAGATTCTCCAGCAGATAACAATGATGAAAACTAGCCAGATTATTAAAAACAACTATAAGATTCTGGAAAATGACCAAAGGCAGAAATATAAGAAGAGGCTGCTATTGAAAGACTGTTACTGATTGTGTTGGAAGTGAGAGTTTATGGCTTTCTCGCTAGGGCTGCTCCCCACCCCTATAGATCTAGCAGTGGAATACCACATTCTTACTACCTTAAGGTGGCGAGGGCTAAATTTGGAGATCCGAGCAGGTGGAAATTTAAGAGGTACATTCTGGAAACAGGAGAGATACAAAAGGTCTGAGATCTAAGATCTGAGTATAAACTCTGCCTGAATCCCTGAATGATCTCTTATCTACACATGCCTGGAAGACCCAGAGATCCTAGCAAAAACAGTGGTAAAACAAGGCAGGTGTTGAACTTTTGAGAGGCAGAGATTTCCTCTAGCTAGAGATTTGCAAGTTTGCTGCACCTTCAACAGAGTGTATTCCCTAAAGTACACACAACTTGGGTGGTAAATATCAGAAGCCTTATTGAATTCTTGTATGAAAGGGCAAAATTCAAGTTTGTCAAAACAACTGGAAATTTAGACTAGGGAATCTTTGAATTGGAAACAAAGGAACCACAGAAAGAGTGAGCCTCAAAATCTGACTAGAAAATCTACCCACATCTTGATCTGACTGCTAAACTCTGTAGGTTCAGGTATATTGCCAGGCAGTGGGCAGATAAAGCAGCAACAAAGCAGAGATATCAGCTGCTGCACTCTGAAGGGGGATAGATTTCACAGTTTGAGTCAAAGCAAGTTGAAATAGACCAACCACCACAAATCCTTAGGAAAACAAAATAGATTCACTACAATAAATTATCTGCCATTCCACTTTGCAACTAAAAAAAAACTACTAGATGTGGAAAAAAAAAAAAAGGAAAGAGTGACTCTAACTTAAGAAACTGCTTCCCAGTAAGTTCTAATGCTGGATTTTAGTACCTGTGATGAAATAATTAAAGGATGGTGTGATCCATATTTAGGAAGAAAAGAATAAGTCAATAAATGCTGATACTAATTGGGCTAAGATGTTGGATTTAAGTGGCTTTTATAAATATGTTCAAACTACTCAAAGAAAATGCACTGGAAGAATGAAAGGAAACTATGGTATTAAGGAATATTTAATTATAGTACCTACTTTATGCCCCTTTTAAATGGAAAAGTACAAACTCACTGACACACAATTGTATTAATGTTACATATTATCTATTGCTACATAATGAGTGGCTTAAACCTATACCATCTCATCAGTTTCTGTGGGTCAGGAATTCAGGAGCAGATT